CTGCAAGGGGAGAGGCCACAACAGTGAGAGGCCCGCGTACCGCAAAAAAAAAAAAAAAATCACCTATGGACTTTAAAAAACAATACAAAACTATCCTTGGGACACACAAGCTTTGCAGCTGATTCTGGTGGGAACCACCGCTACAGAGCCTGTGCTTTCAGTCACTCTGCACTACTGGCTCCATTTAGGCACCCTGAGATCCCACATGACACATGCAGTACAAATAAGAAATGGTGAACCTCCAAAGCAACCTTTTATTCCCTTCTTACCTGTAATTCTTCATTATCTAACAGTTCCCTGCTCTTCCTTTGCAGAAAGACGGCTCTGGATTCTTCTCTTAATTTCTGTAGTAAGACCTCATCTTCAGCTGGCAGCTAAAAATACACTGTAGAGTTAATTTCTACACTTATTCTAGACTATTGGGTTATGTAAAATGTAACTGGCCTCATAAAAAACTATGTATGCTACTGTCTCAAAATTACTTTTTGTATCTCAATCTTGCTTAATTTCAGGTCATCATTTATTTAAAAAGTTCATTTAATAAAAAGAGATCCACAGAGAATTCAGTGATCAGTGAGGCCAGTTCTGCCTGGAAAAGGCTAACCATCTAGCCCAAGTTTCTTTATTTAGATCCATACAGGTTTACTTAAAAACTAAACACAACATTTAGTATGTGCCCATAATATATCAGGCATCAATACACTCATTCTTAATTTAATCATACTAGCCCTGTGAGATGCATTTCATCATACTCAATTTAGAGGTGAGGAAATCAAGAGATGGATGACTTTATCAAGAATACATATGCAGTTAGCCAGTCCCAGACTAAAGATTTAAATCTTCAGAGTCGAAGTCTGTTTTAATTTCTTATAAGTTGTTTGGTTTGGTCCCCTGTACTCCTCTGTCCCCTCAATTTCACACCTAATGTTAATGACTTGCTCAAAGTTGTGCAACTAAAGTAACAAAATTTGAATCCGGGTCTTCTGACATCAGGGATTTAGTGTATTTTCTCTTCTCCATCTCATTTCCATTACTGGGTAGTTAGGTACCTCTCCCAATTAAGTAGACTTTAATGCTATTTCCTAGTGACTGCTAGGAGTAAAGTACTATGACAGATGTTCAATGTAGGATAAACATCCCCAAACTAAATGTATCAGAATGTCATGCTCTTATTTTACTTTATGACCACCACTTTTTCTATTTTCTCAATGTAGCTCAAGTTTCATTTTATATTTGTAGAGCACTGTTCCCATTGTAACCTTAGATTAATATAGAACTAAATTAGGATTGGCTGAAGAGCGACAGTTTTAGCCAAGTATGCTTTTTGAGACTGGGTCACCTTACTTCTTAGAGATAATTAAGCCAATGTCTACTAGTTGGCCTCCAAAGCAGAGGTTTGTCCTCCTGTGGTGATTTCCCTAAGCAGGGCTTTAAAATGACTCATGCTAACAACTTCAAACAATTTGCTTTGAGGATTTCTTCTTACTTTTCTGTAACTCTGCCCCATTAAATGTAGCTAAGTAACCCACAGTCCAAACTGGGGGCTGTGGTTTTCACTTTTTATTTCTAAGAACTAAGATGCCATCCCTCCCATCAAAAGGGATGGAGAAGGAATATGCATTAGGAGGTGAAGCTGGGGCTGAGACTGGGATTGTGCTCCAGTGGCTAGTCAACCAGCTAACCAGCCAAGGAGAGAAGTGGTGACCAAAGATGACAGGTGGTTTCTCTAAAGCAGTAGAGTGGAAGTAGAGGAAGAAGAAACAATGGAAAGAACATCCCACAAATCCACATCTGCAGACCAGAAGCCATTTGGGATCTGGAAGAGGTCAGAGAACAGATGGAAATGGGGGAAAAGGGGATTCCCGCAGAAAACACAAGGGGATGGTTGGTACTAGAAATACAGGAAAGTTGAGTCCTGGGAATGGAGTCATGTCAGCATCTGAGGGCTATTCCTGGGTTAGTAAGATAACACTTTCACAATCCTGATTACATGAAACAATGAATATAAAATGCTCTGAAGTACGCAGACACTCAATAAATGGCAGTCCCCTTCCCACTCCCCCAGACTATAAAAAATTCTCAGTTGTCTAACTGCCTCTGATTAAGAAAGTGTGAAATGCAAAAAAGCAACAGCAGTATGTATGATGTGACCCCATTTTTGTTAAACACACACACACACACACACACATATATAGAAATATGTAGAAGGATTCATGTAAAAATGTTTATTTACATCTCTGGGCAATGTTATTATGGGAAAATATCAACTTTACCTGTTTTTTCTCTTTTCCATGACAAACGTGGATTAGTCATATAATTCTTAAAAGTCTGGGAGACATATAGTATTACAAAAAAGTTTCCAATAAAATGGTTCACATGTACACAAGTACAAAAAAGTTTGTACTTGAAGAAATAAGTTAAAATTATCTGGATAATCTACCTCACTCCTTGATGCAAGTAAAACAAAATATTTACTTTCTTTGCAAATAATGTTGTAATTAATTGAGTTTAGGAGGTAACAGGTTTAAGAGATATTCAGCTAAAATTCCAAAGTTAACTTTTCTATAGTAGTTACATTTCCCATAATACTAAATAGGACTTATTCTTTTCAGAAACCTTCAATTTCAGCTGTAAATATCTTTCTTAAAGTCTTACTGTTTTATCTATAACCCTTATCAAAGCCGTCTTTACCATTTTGGCACAAGGAAACATATAATTAAGTATAACTCTTAAAATTTGTTTTCCACTCTCAATCTATTTTTCAGTTTAGCCTTGAGCAAAACATTTTACAACTTATGAGTAAAAGACAAAGTTAAAAATTGTGATCAGCCAAGTAAATCTAAGTCTTATAGAAAGCCTGGCAACATAATCCAAAAGAATACCTACTACTAACATCCATAATAAATATTAGGAGGAAGGAAAAAGCCTACAGTTCAAAAAAAGTGGCAAATAACAACTTTGTGTTCTTATACCTACTTATATGAAAAACCAAGATTTAATCAGGTCAAAAATAATAAGGTCAACTAGAATGAAACAATAAATGTACAAAATTTAAAATATAATCAGTTTGTTTATTTATAAAATATAAGATTTTTAATCCCATTTGAAAAATTACATTTCATTTACAAACTCTGCAAGACATGTGCTTAGATACCACTTACCCTATAATAAAACCGGGGAATGGTCTTATAGAATTCATTTGTGTTTTTTCTACCTCCTTTCCATTCTGAGTAATACTTGGTAAATAAATCCATTTCTTCATCTTTTAATTCTTGTTCACTTTTTTTTCCTGGTAACAAAACACATTAAGGAGGGGAAAGCACTTTTAAAATCAAACAATATTTTTTTCAAGACATCTATACACTATGGTCTAATTACAGTACAAAAAAGGCCTTCACAATTGTACTTAGACACTAAGCATCTATATTAACTTTCTTGAAATACCAAGAATCACTATCTTCAACTGAAACAGCCTCCTCTACATCTTCAACCAGTTCTCAGATGCTCTCTCCACTTATTTTTATCACTAGTCTCTTTCTCAAGTCATTGCCTCTCTTATAGACCTGACATGTTCTAATTCATTCAATCAAAAGTTCTCACTGAGCACTTACTCCAAACAGAGCACTGCACTAGACATTGGGGCTAGACCAGCGAGAAAATAGGCACAGCCCTTGACCTCATGGAGTTTCAGTGTCATAGTCACTGTTCCTCTACCTATCTGAAGCTCACACCTCAGGGTGCTATTACCCAACCTGCTTGCTGCTGGCAGATGGCCATCTCATTTAGCCATTGAACCATGAACCATGAGACTGGTGCACAGCTTTCTTCACCTGCAATCATTACAGAAGAATAAACATTTATGTGGGTGAAGGTGCCCCCTCAACTCTGAAGGCTTCCACCTCTACTGTACTCTGTTCACTCAGCAAGACCACAGATCTTACCTGTTCCTGTTCTGAAATCTTAAACTCTAATATACTCTCAAAAATTTTCTCTCCTTCTGGTTGTTATTCAAAACCTCACTGCACTGGCACAAAAACAGACATACAGATCAATGGAACAGGATAGAAAACCCAGAAATAAACCCATGCACCTAGGGTCAATAAATCTACGACAAAGGAAGCAACAATATACAATGGAGAAAAGACAGTCTCTTCCGTGAGTGGTGCTGGGAAACCTGGACAGCTACATGTAGAAGAATGAAATTAGAACATTCTCTAACACCATATTCAAAAATAAACTCAAAATGGATTAAAGACCTAAATGTAAGACCACATACTATAAAACTACTAAAAGAAAACACAGACCACTCTGACATACATCGCAGCAATCAATATCTTTTTGGATTCATCTCCTAGAGTAATGGAAATAAAAACAAAAGGGACCTAATTAAACTTAAAAGCTTTTGCACAGCAAAGGAAACCATAAACAAAACGAAAAGACAACATTCACAACGGGAGAAAATATTTGCAAACAATGAGACCAACAGGGGATTAATTTCCAAAATATACAAACAGCTCATACAACTCAATACCAAAAAAACCCCCCCTCAAAACCCAACAAAACCAAACATTCCAATCAAAAAATAGGCAGAAGATCTAAATAGACATTTCTCCAAAGAAGACATCCAGATGGCCAACAGGCTCAATATTGCTAATTATTAGAGAAATGCAAATCAAAACTAAAATGATGGGGGCTTCCCTGGTGGCGCAGTGGTTGAGAATCTGCCTGCTAATGCAGGGGACACGGGTTCGAGCCCTGGTCTGGGAAGATCCCACATGCCGCAGAGCAACTGGGCCCATGAGCCACAACTACTGAGCCTGCGCGTCTGGAGCCTGTGCTCCGCAACAAGAGAGGCTGCAATAGTGAGAGGCCCGCGCACCGCGATGAAGAGTGGCCCCCGCTTGCCACAACTAAGGAAAGCCCTCGCACAGAAACGAAGACCCAACACAGCAAAAATTAATTAATTAAAAAAAAAAAAAAAAACTAAAATGATGTATTACCTCACTCCAGTCAGAATAGCCATCATCAAAAAGGCTACAAGTAATAAATCCTGGAGAGGGTGTGGAGAAAAGGGAACCCTCTTGCACTGTTGGATGGAATTTAAATTGATACACCCACTATGGAGAAAAGTATTGAGGTTCCTTAAAAAACTAAAAATAGAGTTACCATATGATCCTATAATCCCACTCCTGGGCATATATATGGAGAAAACTATAATTTGAAAAGATACATGCACCCCAGTGTTCACTACTGGAGCACTATTAACAATAGCCAAGACATGGAAGCAACCTAGACGTCCATCGACAGGTGAATTGATAAAGAAAATGTGGTATATATATACAATGGAATATTAATCTATCATAAGAATGAAATAATGCCATTTGCAGCAATATGGATGGACCTAGAGATTATCAAACTAAGTGAAGTCAGACAAATATCATATGATATCGCTTATATGTGGAATATGAAAAAAAAGATACAAATGAACTTATTTACAAAACAGAAAGAGACTCAGACATAGAAAACAAACTTATGGTTACCAAAACCTCACTGCACTTCAGCCTCATTGAGATCTTCAATTCTGTGATCTGTTTTCTCAAGTTTTTCCTCTTCCTGGTCTCACTTCCTTCTCAACATGCATGTAGTTGTTCCCCAAAACTCCTGCCTGCATTTCTGCCATATCTGCCTTGTTAATTTTTAACCTTGGACCAATTTTATAATGTTTACTAATGCTCAATGGTGCTGGAGAAAACTGCCAAATTTTGCAAATATTGGTCCCAGAAATTTATTTCATGGTTACTAATAACTCAGCCTCCCCAAACCACCAATACATATTTTATTTGCGCCTGATGTCCTCTTGGTGACTGACTGCTCCAGACTTTCACTACATTCCTCAAGCCCCCTGTGTTCACCCTCAACAGATGAGAATCTCACCCAGTTCACCAACAACTGAGTCTACTGGGCATGTATCCCACAAACATCTAAGTGGAGTGGGAGGACAGGAAGGTATCAAATCTGCATCTTACTTTCTTCCTGCCAGTTTCAGGAGAAAACGTAGCTCTTCTCTCACCCAAGGCTAACCCCTCATTCTCCCATCTCCTCCGCAAAACTCCTTTCTTTCTACCTGTTGCCACACATAATTCCTTCTTCCTCATCCACTTTCTCAAATGAAAGGCCTGTGTTGGCGATCTCTACTTTCTTACCTCTCACTATCTCTTTATGCAATCCTGCCACTCTACGGAAACTGCCAGGGCAACATGTGACCTAATTGTTTAGTTTAATGGACACACCTGTCCTTGATTTTTCTGTTAAATTTGATACTGTCAATGATTCTAAACTTTTTGTGGCTTTTATGAGACCACACTGTTGATTCTCCTATTTTATTGCTATTTCTTCTTTTTTCTTTTTCTTTTTTTGTTTAACTGATCTACTTATTGTCTGTCTTTATTTATTCCAATTTTTATTGGAGTACAGTTGATTTACAATGTGTGTTAGTTTCTGCTGTATAGCAATGTGAATCAGTTATATATACACATATATCCACTTTTATTTTATTATTTAAATAAATTTATTTATTTTTGGCCGTGTTGGGTCTTTGTTGCTGCACGCGGGCTTTCTCTAGTTGCGGCGAGCGGGGGCTACTCTTCGTTGTGGTGCGCAGGCTTCTCATTGCGGTGGCTTCTCTTGTTGCGGAGCATGGGCTCTAGGTGCGCGGGCTTCAGTAGTTGTGGCACGTGGGCTCAGTAGTTGTGGCTCACGGGCTCTAGAGCACAGGCTCCGTAGCTGTGGAGCACGGGCTTAGTTGCTCTGTGGCATGTGGGATCTTCCCGGACCAGGGCTCGAACCCGTGTCCCCCGCATTGGCAGGCAGATTCTTAACCACTGCAACACCAGGGAAGTTCCCTCTTCTTTTTTCTTAATCCTCTTCCTCTATCATTTCAACTTTCATAGTTTAACCTCTAAGCCCCAAACCTATGTCACTAACCCAGACATTGCACTAAACTCACACATTCAAAACAAAATATTTTCATCCTCATGCTCCAACATACTTAGAATAACTTTCCCTATCCCTCACCTTACTACTCTTCTTCTAATTCCATATTTCCATCTCAGTAAGTGGTACCACTATCATCCAATCACCTGAGCCCAAATCCCAAGAGTCACTTTCATTACATCATTCAACTATTCTAGGGATACACAAGTATATGTGTGAGTGGATGAATGCATACACACATGCAGCTTTCAACAGTGTCAGGGATACAGACTCTCTCGCTGAGATAAAATTGACAAAAAAAAAAAAAAAAATGAAGGGGAGGAAGCTGCCTATCCAGATATCCAGGGGGAACTGCATTCCAGGAAGAAGGAACAGCCAGTGTCAACGCACGAAAATGTGCAGGGAAGAGGGAGTCGGCCAGTGCAGTTGCAGCAGAATGAGCCAGAGGGAATAGCAGGAGATGAGGGACAGCAGATATTGGGGGGGGGGGGCAGGCCACTAGGCCTTTGGAAAGACCTTGGCTTTCATTCTGATGAGGGAGAGAGCCACCAGAAGGAATTAAGAGGCTAATGCAGTAATCCAGGTGACAAATGGCGGTGGCGTGGGCCAGGGTGGCTGCAATGGAGGTGGCTAGGAGTAAATTTATTCTGGATATATTTTAATTTTAGTCTCAGGATTTGCTGACACACTGGATGTGAGTATTGGAGAAAGAGAGCTGTCAGAGATGTCTCCAAAGGTTTTGACCTGAGTAGATGTGATTGCCGGCAACTAAGATGGGGAAAACTATGAGCGAGCAAGTTAGGAAGGAGAGTGGGAGTTCAATTTCAGACAAGATGAAGATATTAGATCCAAGTGGCCATGTCAGGTAGACAATTACTGATAGATATATGAACCTGGAATTTGGGATGAGGTCCAGGCTAGAGGTATACATTTAGGAGACATTAGCAAATAGACATTATTTAAAATCGTAAGAAGGTGAGTGTAGACAGAGGATAGACACTGACCAAGGCCTCAGCCTTGGGCCCTCAAAAGTTAAGTTCTTGGGAAAAAGAGGAAGAAAAAGCAAAGACTGAGAAGGGATGACTGGTAGTAGGAAACCTAAGGGAGTGTGTCTCCCAGAAACCAAGAGAAGAAAGTATGTGTAGGAGGAATGAGTGACCTACTATGTTCCTGGCAGGGGCTGCTGGCTGGTCAAGTAAAATAAGGACAACTGAGCACTGGAACAATGTGGAGATCACTGACGATCATGACAAGCAGGAATCAGAGACAACGATAGATTCAACTAACAACTCTTTTAACAAGTGTTGCTATAACGAGGCATAGCTACAGGTGGAAGTTAAGAAAATTTCTCTAAGGTGGGAGAAATACCACCATGTTCATATGCTGATGGGAGTGAATGAGAAAGAAAATCTCATGATGCAGAGACAGAGGATGACTGTAGGAGTACATCCTTGAGGAGGCAAAAATGGGATCTAGCACACTGATGAAAGAAATAGCCTTCAACAGAAGTACAACCTATACGATTTACTTACTATTTTATCATCTCTGCCAACACTAAAGTGTAAGTTCTACAAGGACAAGGATTTCTGTTTACTGCTATAGCCTAGGTTATCCAGATAAAAGACATGCGATGGAGTGGGTTTAGGAGTGAAGGGGAGGAGAAAGCACAAGTACAAGTAAATTTTCCTAGAAGTTTTCCTATAAGGGGTGTGGAGAAATGTAGCAAAAGCTGGAGGGGGTTGTGAGATCAAATGATTTTTTTTTAAATGATGGGGGACATTACAGCATGTTTGTCAGAGCTGATGAAAATGAACCAGTAGAGAAAGAAAATTTGATGGTGTATAAAGGAGAGGATAAGGCCAGAGTGAAGTCAGTGAATAAAAGAAAGAAACGCGATCCAGCGTTGGAGTACAGGGACTGTTGGCCAGTTCACCATTTTAACAGTGAAGGCAGAGTGCACGGTTGCCTATAGTGGGTGGGGAGTGGGGGGGCGCTGACAGAAATGGTAAATGGGAACAGGTGAGATTCTCCTTTGCTTCTACTTTCTCAAATATATATACTAGTTCATCAGCTAAAGGTAAGGAGTAGATAGGACATACTGAGGATTAGAGGTTTGGGAGATGAGAAGGAACTGCCTTAGAGTGTAGGAGACTGAATGTCTAGGGAAACGTGGAAGAAGTGTAAATGAATGACTGAAACACCTACTTTAGGTTAGTGGACATGAATTAAAAGTGAGGCAATTCACCAAGGTTCCGTTTTTCTCTAACCACTTTCAGCTGTCCTGGATGCAGTTGTGAAATAGTAAAGATAGTTTTAACCAGGGTGATTAACAAACGTGACGCAAAGGGAAAGA